GGGCTGGCACACAAACACCAGCGGGTCACTGTGACTAATGCTCTTGACAGGGCAAAGAGGAGGGACAATGCGGCAAAGGCTGGTCGGACTCGCGCATCACGGCCAGAAAGGAGAGGGTGGCCATCAAGGACAAGCCCACGGGCACCCTCCGCGTAGGCCGAGGAGAGCCTTGCTCCTCAGCGTTACCACAGCCTTGAGCCGGTGTGAGGGCTTTACCACGAGAGGACAAAGCCAAACACGTATTTAAAAAAGGCCTGTGAGTGGTTAGCTCAGGTGGCTACGAAATCCCGCTGGCTCCGAACATCGGAGGCATCTGTAATCCCCTCATTTCTCACCAACAGATGTGCAGGAAGGGGGCTTTTGGACTCACCTGGCTGCTCAACTTAGCTTGGGAAGAACCATCTGAAACAAAAACACGAAATGAATGAATTAAAACTATTCACTGAAGACGCAGCACAGAGATATCTGCTAAACCAGGGCAGTCCACGCTTTCCTAGCTCCCAGTCCTGCGGTTTCAGAGGGACTTCTAGTGCAGGGGATGACTAACTGGGGCCATATTTTTGTTTTGGTTGCAGATTGGAAGACACTATTTTTATTCCCCAGTCCCCCAAAGCATCTGTTTCTCTCTTGCTATTTAAGACTTCCTTTTTTAAGACCTAGTTAGAGGTATATCATTATTTTTAAATGTTACTCTTTGCAGTCACACTCGCATTTTATCATCATTACATGTGTCATTAGCTGCGTGTTTCAACTGTGTAATTTGAAGACGAGGGGATAAAATCCTTGCAGGGGGTCTAAGAGTTACCTCCCCTTGAGCAAATATTTTGGGACCATACCTACCATGGGGTACAAGCTAGTGCATTCCTCAGGCAAGGAAAAGAAATCCTTCTACAGGTCACGGTTTAAAGCCATCCAGAGAGGGAAGACTGTTTGGAAGCATTCACAGAGCAAATCCCCAGCAGAGAAGGGAAAGACCCTGTTCCTAGCACCTTAGTCAAGTCACATGCATCTAGAAAAATCAGTGCAAGTATTATTTGCCTCGCACGGAAAGCACTCTAAATGGAGCCAGTTCTACGCTTCCTAGGGAGTAAAAGATGAGGACGTCTTTAACTCTTACGGCTGGACAGTAAGACAGAAGACAGGATGACTCATTAAATGAGTTACATTGACTCCAAATTACAATGGGCCCGACAGAGTAGCACTTCTGCACCACCAAAGTGTTGGTATAACATGACACGAATACAACTCGGGTCACTTAAACAGGTCTTGCTTTGCTGGTCATTGTAACTGATCTACTAATGGCTATGGGGATCTACTAATGGCTACTCCTAATGGCTATGGGGATCTTTTATGCCCTCATCCCCATTGTGCCCAGGGGACAGAGGAAGTAAATGAGATGATTGACTCGATCCCAAGCTACATCACTGGCCTCATCGCCTGGTGCAGGAGGTCAGTAGACCACCAGCTTCCAGGAGACATCAGGACCCCGTCCCTACCACAACACGGAGGAGAGCCCTGGCTCCCAGAGACCAGGGCAGGCAAAGGTGTGTTTAGGTGCAATAGCCACGTCTTCCTG